ATGCCGGCGGAACCCGGCGGCACCATAGACGCCCTAAAATGCGCAGCCTGCGGCTGCCACCGGAATTTCCACCGCAAGGAAACGCCGGACCTCGCGCTTCATCCCCACGCGCCACCGCCACCGGGTTACTACAGGCTTCCTCCTCCGCCTGTAGGGTATCTACACCAGAGGGGCCCGCCACCTCCGCTGTCGCAGGCGCCGCCGCTTCAGCTCGCACTTCCACCGCCACCGCCGCCGCCGCTGCAGATGCGGGAGAGAAGAGGGGAGGAGGAGGATTACGGCGGAAGCGGAGGGAGGAAGAGGTTTAGGACGAAGTTCACGGCGGAGCAGAAAGAGAGGATGTTAGGGTTAGCGGAGAGGATCGGGTGGAGGATCCAGAGACAAGACGAAGAACTGGTTCAACGGTTCTGTGAAGAGACAGGTGTTTCAAGACAAGTTCTTAAGGTTTGGTTACACAACAACAAACACACTCTCGGTAAGCGACCTCTTCTCCAAGAACCACCTCCTCCTCCATCGTCTCACCATGAAAATGACGATTAGGATCTCTTCCCCCTTTTTTTTAGCTAGTTTTATTATTGCCCACGAAATTTGCTATCAGACCGTCCATTGTCGATGATGATCTTGTAAAAGCTTGCTAGCTTACGGTGTTTTTGCCTGCTTCCATTTCTCGTGAACTTATTTTTATCTCTGGTTAGTTCTCTTTTCTCTTCTCGGACATGCCTTCTGCTGATTCCATTCTCTTAACCAAACTCTCTTCTCTATTATTCTCTTTATCTCAGTTTCATCGTATGTGTGTTTCTGCCTTGTTTCCATTTTCTTGCAAGTGTCTGCCTTTACATGCTATCATGAGCATTGATCTGTATGAACGCATGCATATGTAATTGTCTGTGTTTGTGTTTGTCTGCGTGTGCGCTTGTCTGTGTGTATATGTGTATCAGTTGTATATATATATATATATTGATAAGTTCGTATAAAACTGACTTTTGAGTTTTGATTCGTGTCATCCAAATTAGATACACTTATTTATTTTTTTCTCTTATGGATCAACATCATCATCATCTTCTTTCTTCTTCCCCTTTCTGCTAACACCTGTACTTGCTTCTCAAGTTCTTTACGGTTTCTTGATGTTTGAGTTCTTGTCTTTCCTTGAGAATTGATTACATTGTGTATAGAAACATGCTTGATTTTGAATAATTATACATCATGCAAACAATAAATTTGTCATTATTACATGCTTGTTTCGACTTTCATTTTAATGTATAATAATAGTTTAGAACTCATATGTTGGATCATGATTGGGATCTCTGTCCGGACGCTTTCTTTGGGCTTTGATAAGATTTTTTTATTTCGGTTCGACGAGATTATTTACATAAACCTCCGAATAACAATTAAAAGGATCATTGAAAAACGAGCCCATTGTTTTTGTTTCCTTTGCAATGAGAAATCAATAATTATAATGCTAGAAGTTGTGTTGGTCCAATGGTTTCTCGTAATCAGTATGGCCATCTCTTATGAGAGAGCTTCTTAGAATGATTAATATATGTATATGTATATGTATACACAACATAATGACATATATACTGTTGTATCGAATAATATAATCATTTTTCTTGGAAATGAAAATGGGGGGGGAGCAACTGCAACACTACTGTTTTGATTTTTGGGAATTCTCCATGCAACCAATTTTTTTTATATATAAAAAAAAAAGATAGAAAGAAAAGAGTCCAATGGGGTCGATGGATCCAAAGCCTCGTTTTCTTTCTGTATTTCTCCTTATCTTTATTTTCTGTAAATATTTAATTTAATTAATTTTCTTCGAAGTTGCGAGGCGGAGACATGTGGGCTCTTTGGAAGCAAGAAGCAAGAAAGAAAAAACACACTTGGCCACACGACATGCATTTATGATGTTCTTGTTCTACGATTCCAGAATCTCCATCTGGATTTCGTTTTTTTTTTCCTTTCTAAATATGATTTTATGCCATTAATTCCCTACCCCATGTCATCGAGCAACCTTTTTCATTGGTCTTGTGCCCTAAATCAATAACTTAGTCTATATCAACCATCAGTTTGTCGTTAATCCTTCATTATGTACAATCTAGGGCAGATTCATCATTCCATATGGCGCATGCATGTAATTGGAGAATGTGCTTATAATGAAACGAGGCATTAATTTGTCATATACTAGTATATGATCTTAAACTTGAAAGCGAGTTTTCGAGCGAAAAATGTGGTCCATATATGATTTAGAAATGAACTTGCGATTTACGTACCCATGTATATATTAATTAGAATTCATACGATTATATTGAACTTCAAAGTTTGAGAAATTAGAGAGGAAAATGGGATGGAAGGAAGGAGTGTATGTGACTTGTGACTAATGGAAGGGGAAGAAATGCAGAGAAAAGGGGGAACCGGACTCATTGTAAAAGGAAAGGAATAGAGGGGGAGAGATTTGGGACCCAATTTTACAAGTAAGTTCCATAAATAGGCATCGATGTTTCAGCTTCATCTTTCACTTTTATTTTTTGGAAATAGATATGTATATATACACATTATATATATATATATATATATATGCGAGAGGAGGGTGAGTCCAAAGAGACAGAAACACACACATGAGGGGACTTTTTTTTGTTTGGGAGATGCTTTTGCTTCATCAGGCAACGTCTCTCCCTCGTTGTCTCTGTTAAAGCTGCACTCACAATGTTATATGAGAAACGAGTGGTCCTCTTCTCTCACCAATCCCCCACTCCTCCTTTTTTCTTCCTTGTCATCTCCTTTCACCCCCGACCAAAAAAAAAACGTTTTTTTTTTGTTTTGTAAAATCAAATCTACCCACCATCTCTCTATATATACATATGGTTTCACTGTATATAAGCTAAGATTATATATATATATATATGCATGGATATATGTAAGAGAATCAACAACTGTTTTCGGGTGTCTTTAATTCACTCCCCGGCTTATATATAGTAGTTTGGAAACATTCTCTCCATTAATGGTACGTATACGTGTATCTATATGAACATTCCATATCGTATTAATTAATTAAACCAAAGTAGATTTATTAAGGATGGGATGGGGCTGCGGTCCATCTCTTGAACAAAATGATTTTAAAGGACAAATGGTTGTGTGTGTGTGTGTGTAACTATATAAGGCGTTTTCAAAGCGTAAGTAACTTACTAAATTAAATTAGAAAACAGTACATATATAATAAGATAGTGTATCAGCGTGCTTCGTGCGGGGAAATGTTACTGTATAACTCAAAAATATATAGTTTGTATCCATATGAATAAGTGAAATTAATGCAGACTATATAAAAGAAGTGAGAATTGTTATTGATGTAAATGTTTCGATCAGATAGAACAGATTTAAACATGAATTTAAGGTGGTCCTGTTCCTGGAATCTTTCAGTCAATACGCAGAAACCCATCGGACAGTGACCGATCAGTCTGTGTGTACCATATATATGCATATATATACGTGTGTGTCTATATAGATACGTATCATCATCTCACACAGTGTTTTTACTGTGGAATACTTACTGTCTTTATGCTTAGTTTTGGATATCTAAAGTGACCCACAACTCAGGTTTTTACCAACCTTCAAAGCAAAGTTTGCAAACAGGAGAGAGAGAGAGAGTTAGAGAGAGAGAGAGAGAGAGAGAGGAAGAGTTCCGAGCCATCTCGCTGCTATATTAGAGCTAGGGTTAGGGTTTCCCTTGTTATTTAGAATGTGCGAGACGTCTCTAGGTAGAGTCTAGGGTTTTCCTTTATGTTGGATACATGAGAAATCACATGCAACGAATTTTTTAATTTAAGTTTGCGTACGTCGAAATTTTAATCTCGCGCTATAGATTAAATTGCGGACGCAACAACTCGGTCACTTCACATCTAAAACAATATAATTAATCTCTCCTCTATAATGCGACCAAAGGTTGAATTTGAAAATAAATATTATTATTTGATAATGGAAGTATTTTAGAAGGAAAAGATATACAAGTTATACAACATTTTGCATATTTTTCAAATATTATTTGAAAAAATAAATAAATAAATATGTCGGACAGTTCAGTGACTATGACGACTCAATGTGACGAACCCCAGCGAGAGAATTATAGAAGTTTATTTGTTTGTATTTGTTGTCCTCACTTTTATCTACAGTCCAAACAGTGCCTTCTTCAATCTTTCAAAAAATTTCGTTTCATCTATATAATATATATATATATATATGTATAAACATCCACGTATATCTGGCAATGCCCATATATATATATATATATACATGGTTGACGTGGTGTATATATATATATATATACATGTGTACGCTGCATGGGATGGGATTCTCAAAAGATAAGCCCCACTTCTGCATATATATTCCTCGTCTCTTGTTTTATCCGCATAAAAATTAATCGGTAACTGTTTAAACTCGTCTGATGATTAATGTCACGTACTTCTAGTATTTGTTTGGCGATTCTTTTAACCCGTGTAATTGTAATTTCAGCGTTATAATATAAAATGAAATAAACTGTATAAAATGACGAATTTAAAAATAATATTTGTGATTCGATGACTCAGGATGTTATAATTGACTCTAAGACAACACGAGTTTGAATTATATAAAAAGGTTATAAGGTTTATATATTCAAATCCGTTTGATGTGTTATTTATTGAAGAATTGCCTTTTTAAAAACCTAGTACGCTGTCAACTGGAATCTACAGTATTTTCTTTAAATGAATATGATGAAGGAAAGAAATGTTCAGGTCCACCTGTAAGTTTCTAAATGGACTTAACATGGGCCCATTTGAGGAATCGGACTTTAACATAATGGACTTTAAAAAGCCCAAAACATAAATTGTGGGCCCACCTTAGGCCCATGATGCAAAGCATTTATATAAGAAAAATCTATCCTCGGTAGAAGCGGTTGACTTAAAGACTATACAAAAGTCAAGGACCACAAAGAGTGAGGTGGCATTGTGGGCCCAGTCGTAGGCCCATTAAGATGTTGCGCCCAACTTTTTGCGTAAACGACGTCGCTTTCAATGATTAGACTGACCAAAGTCAACTCTCACGCAACCGACAGGATGTTTCCCGCCATTATTTTGGCGGCAAACAGTGGAAGGCGACCGTACATCTCTTTTTGTGTTTTTGTTTTCCTTCCGTAGACATTTATATTTAGTACAAACAAAACCCAGCGAGTAAATAAAAAATAATCTAAAAATAGATATTTGCTATTCCATTTTTTGCATTGATTTTTTTCCCCACCTTCCTATCGAGCAAAGGGAACAACACAACACAACACAACCTCCCAAAAAAAAAAAATTTCCCCAAAGAACAGAGAGAGAGAGAGAGAGAGAGAGAGAGAGAGAGAGAGATCAAGGGTGAGAATTGGAGTGTTGTTGTCTCGTAAGAGTGTCGGAAGGGGAAAGAGGAGAGAGTGAAGCAGAAGAGTCATCAGTCTTAAAGCTGAAACACGAAGCCGTAACATCCAAAACCCCATTGGGTGTCCGCCACGACAAAGACGACGACACTGACCCTTCACTCTCTATCATTCTTGCAATCTTCTTCACCCTCTCCTGCACCAAATTCATAGTTTCATTGATCCGATTTTATACCTAAACGTATAATGAAAGGGGATAAATCATTGATCTGATTATGTATATGGGTGTTAGAAAAGATGGATACTTGGGAAATGGGTCTAAGCTGTACTGTGCAAACAACGTGGTGGGTGGGTCTCTAATTTGATGGGAGCTGTCCTAAATACTCCACCAGTTTTGGAAGTCAAAGGATTCAGACACAGAGAGCACTCATGTCTCTCTTTTTCCTTGAAACAGGGGGGCATAAATACGTACATACACCCACATGAATTCTATATCTCATCTCTACCCTGCCATGTATTTTTTTCTCTCTAAAGGTTGTGATGATTTTGAAAGTTTGGTCATTTTCTGTGATACCTTTTCAAGAAGTGAGAAGGGGGAAGGGGAGGAGTTGTCAAAGGGAAGTGCTCCAATTTGTCCAGAGACAGAAAGGGTCACTGCAGCAGCAACTTCGGAGGGTCTGAACTCCAAGAAGTCAATACCTGCACCCATCACATTTTCACACCCACCCATCAAAATCCTTTCTGTACCCAACAAAAAAAAAGTGTGAAAACACTGGAAAAAAGTGGTTAAAAACAGGAGTTCTTAGGGGTGAAAAAGCAAAAAATTGAAAAAGAAAAGGGGGAGACTTTCACTTTTGCTTGTGCTGGATATCACTTGCAACGACCTAGTGATCAATTTTCTCGGTGGTTCTTGATCACAGCCATTGATCCTGCTCAGGAAATATCTAATGTATGAACACGGTGTTATAGCTCTTAACCTCCATTTCAGTTCGTTCAGCACCAAAAGCTCCATTCTTTGGACAGATTTGGGCTCGAACAGGAACCGGGGATCTCCAGCCTGTTCCAATGTAATCAATCACACTTGTCTAAAAGAATCTCCGGGCCATTATAACCAAGTTCAATGATGTTCTTGAATCGACATAGAATGTGGGCATTAACACCTGCAGATCTACTAATTCTGGGACATTAGTTTCCTCTATTTTGGCGGCCAGGGATAAACATGCCACCGCCAACAACTGCACTGTCCAAGATTTGCCACTCTACAGAAGAATCAGAGATCAAGAGACAGATTTACAAACGGAGAAGAAAGATTCGATCTTGTGAGGTGAATTTTGGTCCTACTTACGGGCAGGTCGTGAACCGATAAGAAACGATCCAAGAAATTAGTCGACAGGCACAACGACAATGGTCCAAACCGGTGGTGTCCACAAGCCTGTTGCAATCAGGACAAGATCCATAACACGACACTTTTTGCAGGAAATTGATTTTAATATCATCTGTTTGCTATGTCTGGGATCTGAAACAGAGGTTGTTGGATATATTGATGGTTTGTGGAAATGTGAAGGTTCGAACTGAGTTCACAGACCTCAAAACCAATACTAACATTGTAACAGTTTCCGATTCAGACAGTATGGCTAGAGCATAATTTCAAGGGCATGTTAAAGGGGTTTCGAGAAGAAAATCAGTAAAAAGAAGAAGACGAGATTGCAATGAAATGTGTTGAAAAGGGGGAGAAAATTTATAACCTTCCAAATCCAGTCAAGGGCTTCTCTCCGAACATTCAAATCCAAATCCCCGCTCCTCAATCTCCTGAGATAATCGTCTCTGGGCAAATGATCTCTTTCTCTCTCCATCATCTCTCTGATAATCTCTTCGCTCTCCACCGGAAAACCCATCTCGATATTCGGCGTTTCCCGCCTAAAAACCGGAGTTTTATCGTCGTTTTCACCATCAACAGTAGCATCGTCAATGGCTGACTCTGTACAGAGAAGATTTAGTTCAAGATTTTCTGCCATTAAAGGGCGCCGAGAGAAAAAAAATAGTTCCTTTTAAAATCTGGTTAAAATGCGATGACGTGAAATTTCGACAAGGGAAACATCGTATAGAGATTGAGCTTGTGAATGGGCTGTTCTCTCTCTGGATTCAGGGAGATGGGTTCATGTTTGAGGGGTGAAAGAGACGAGCTTTATTGAGGAAACGAGGAAATGTGGTTTTAGGGTAAGTGAGAGGAGAAGAAGAAGATGGAAAATTCAAAATAGAAAGAAAAATAACTAACATGGAAACAAATATTTCTCTGTGTAAATAATATGGAAATGAATGTGGAGAATTGGGGCAAGAAATTTAGTTGGTGCATTATTATTCACAGCTCAATTTTCCACCTCAACAAATTAAAGTTGCTCTTTTCCAATATGCTTTGGTATAATTTTGGTTATTTGGATTTCTTTTCTAAATCTATTTAAGTATTCAGATCCAAATACCTTAAATATGGACTTGTTTTTATAATATTGACTCGGAACCTATTATTAACATACCGTTTTGCAACATTGCTGGTTGAACTTTGACTAATTTTTCAGTCTATTACATAAACGTTACGCTCGAAATATTTGTACCGAAATATTTTTTTTTTATAACGGAGGACCTCTATCTGCTAGTCTTCTGACGCACTCACTAGATAAACCTCCGGCCCGGGTTGTACCGAAATATTTATGCCCTTTGACAATGATATATATGCTGAATATACAATTATTATTACGAGATATGCTATTTTATTGTTTATTAAAAAAACTTCAAACTTTTCCTTTTTAAAAATAAGACGGAGAGTTTTAATAAAATTTTAAAAGACATGTTTTTTTTATCCGGAAGTTCACCGTGCCTTTGATCCAACTACATCTTGTAGAAGAAAAGGAAAATTCATGTGAATATTCCTTTCTAAATACATATTCAAATTTAAGTTAGAAAAAGAATTTTATTTCCTTATTTATCAGATGAGTTGGATGGTAGGAGATACGTGTTCCCATTCCCTTTGTATGTATGTATATATGTATGAGTTAGTTTAAATATTATTAGTATATACGGTGTATTTCAATAGGTAAATGTAGAGACCCAAATGTATTTGAGGTTGAGTTGGTTAACGGAATGAAATAACACATATTTTCTGTTATTTCATTTCGTTAACCAACTCAACCTTAAAATATATTTGGGTCTCTACATTCACCTGTTGAAATACAACGTATATACTAATAAATATAAAAAAATACATAAATATTTTTTTTAATAAATTTTTACTATATCTATATTTGGCGAATATCAATTTTAACCGGTTAATAATCTAATGTCGAAAATTTTCACCTCAAACATAATAACTTGGTATCTATCTACACTTAGACAATAAATAAACTTATATACATTTCCACCCTATACGTGTGTGTTAAATGTAAAATTGAAAAGCATAATTGATTACCGGTTATATTTTCCTCTTTGGAGCCTCATTTGGTATGTGTATCGTTTGAAAAAAGGTCAATGATACGAAAACAAATAATTGAATCATAGCTGTGGTAATCAATATATACACATATATGTACATGGAATTCAAAAGATGTAATGGTATTATTGATGGCAAATTCAAAATCATAGTAAATACGGGGTCAATCTGCACATTTATCATATAGTTTCGTTTTCACGAGTTGTTAGCATATACGGGCTTTGACTATAAAATTTGACCGCAAGCATAATGCATACACTTATACCGTGTGTGTTTGTGTGTGTGCATTAAATCACGTGTGAGCTACACACACTTTCGTTTCAATGTCTTATCTTTTCTGAAAAGTCTTGAAACGAAAAAAGTGACTATTATATATATATATATATATATATATATATATATATATATGTTCATAAAAGTAAGTATTATATATGTTGATAAAACTTAAAAGTAACTTATATATGTCTGCGTATATATATATTTTTAAAAAAAAAAAAGATGTTTCGACCATAGACTTTTTTTGGGTTTATAAAGTTGTTGTTCATGCATGCAGTGGAGACAAAGTGGTCCTATTAGGCTTTTGATGTTCTGCCACTCTTTGTGTTGTGAGATTCGACCTCTTATATATATATATATATATATATATATATATTCTATCTTTCCACATAATAATACGAATGGTGCACATAAATAAATAAATAAATATATAATTGTGTAAGTAAGTAGGCACGCGTATGCATGTGTTCTCTCTTTTTCGCGTTCTGTAGAATGGAATCATACTTTTTTATTTTTATTTTTTATTTTTGTTAGGTTTTTTACTCATGATATTCTACTGTGCATTAATTAAAACAATATAACAAAAAGTAATTTCAGCAATTTTATTTTCAGAGAGGAGCGACCATGGTTGGTCGAGTGGCATGAAGCATATAAAAAAAAGGTAGAGATAAAAATATAACTGAAGAGAACACAGAAGATATCATATCACAATAATAACCCAAAAAAAAAAAAAAAAAAAACTCTTCATATGTAATCGTAACCACAAAAGGGCTGTCTCATGGCCTTGAGCTCAACGTCCCACGGCTTTCTCAGACATCATCATCATCCGTCTGCTCCTGTGTAGAAATGTCACTGATTCAGTATACTAACCTTCTGGTTTACGAGATTTGGGGGTCCAAACACAACATAACTCAAAACCCAACTGAAGATACCAAACGTAAGTGTCATGATCGTTTGAACGAGGGATGTAAAGCTCGGTAACTGACCTGCATGTAGGAAGTCCACATAGTTAGATTATCCCTCAGCAATTGCATGATGAGATCGCTGTCCTTGTATGACTCTTCTCTCAGGCCGTCTAACTCGGATATCGCTTCTTCGAAAGCCTGAACAGAATGAATCCCCATTGAAATCAGAGTGCAAGAATCTACATGGAGGAAATGAAATGCCCATCAACCATTTTTTCCCCTCCGCAGCCAATCCCCGGAAGCAGAAAAGAAAGGGTTCGTACCTGTTTGGCCATGCTGCAAGCTTCCTCGGCGGAATTCTGGATCTCATAGGAAAACACGGGGAAGTTGAAGGGCAGACCCAGCCTTATCGGATGTGTAGGTGGAATATCAGCAAGCGCAATGTCCTTCGAAACAATAAAACACAGAGAAAGGCAAATCATTGGTAAACCTGTCTTCTAATCATGAACGATTCAACTCTTGTTTTACCCCTACAATTTGCTGAATCTAGTTTTCATGCATCATTTCCCAGCAGCAGGCCTTGAAAAATCTATGCAGATGTACTTCTTACAAACAGGACATTTGAACAAAACAGATATCAGTTTGGAATCTATCAAAAAGCCAGACGGTTGATTGATCAACTACCAACTAATTCATCGCTGTTTGATCATTTAAAAACGACGGATCAAGCACCAACAACGAGATCGATACAACCCCTTTCACTGACGAATCACAGTGACCCATCGTCCAACTCTAAGTGAAAATGGTAAAACGATCAAAGATCAAACCGAATCGAAAGTACCTCAGCTGCTTTGTACGCGTTCATTGTATCTTCGACAGCTGCTTTCCTCTCATCCCCGGCCTTGAACTCAGCCATATAGCGATGATAATCCCCTTTCATCTTCAGGTAAAACACCTTCGACTTGCTCGCGGCGGCCGAGGGAATCAGATGCGAATCCAGAATCCTGAGAATGCCGGAGCAGACGGAGGACAGCTCGGCCTCCACCTTAGATCTGTAGTCCTTGACGAGGGACACGTGCTCATCTTTCTTACGGCCCTCTTCTTTCTGCTCGATCGACGACACGATCCGCCAAGCCGCGCGCAGAGATCCGATCACGTTCTTGTAGGCAACGGATAGGAGGTTCCGCTCCTCCACCCTTAACTCACCGGACGGAGTTGCGCTGACGACGAGCTGCTCCATGTACTGCACCATCTCCTCGTAACGCTCCGCCTGCTCGGCGAGCTTCGCCATGTACACGTACTGATCTCTGGTTAGCGTCGCCGCCATTGGAGAGAGAGAGAGTCGGAGGCAGAGAGAGAAACAAAATGTTTTGTTGTCTTCTGTTTTTGGGAATTTGAAATCGGAGCTTCTAAAGAAGAAACCGAAAGCGAGAGAGAATAATAAAGGGTAAGAGCCAGATGAGCTGTGAGAAAGCGTTACCCACTCGCGCGTTTGTAACACTCGCGATGAAACGACGCATCCTTTGGGAGCGGGAGCGCGTGGACGGTGGTGATGTCTTTGGGTTTCCGATAAGAGCGAGGGAATGGACACTGTTAGTGGGTCAGCCCTCAGTTTCCATCAGTTGACACTGTCCGAAGTCAAATCATGAATGGGCCTTAAAGCCGTTATTGGGTCAATCTTGGGCCTACATGAGGCCCAATTATATTGCGAGAGATCAATTGTACTCATCGTGATATTGCCTTACTGATTAAGCATATGCGCTTTTGGCATGAACTGGACCCAACTAATACGCTCATGCATTTGGACAGAAAAAGCAATGTCCGATTTCTTTCATATTAATATATTATTGCCCTCCAGACAACATTAATTTACGTGCATTATTGACCTTCGTAAGAAAGAGATTTCGGTGCCGCCAAAAAGTCGTTACTGAATTATATCACATGAATAATAGCAAATCATATAAAATCTATACAATTGTTATATTGCAATAAATTAAAACTGGATCAATCGAATATTTAAATAATAAGTTATTTGGGGATTTCAAACAATCTATTTTCATGAATATAGTTGTGCATATTTTAAAATGGTGAAGATTGAGAAGGGCATTTTGTTCGATAAGTAACATAAAATTTGGTTATATATTAATTTCTGTATAAATATTACAAACTAAGACATGTGATTAATCATATGCAACAGTGCTAGGAAAATGACTTCAAGCGTTTATAAGATTAAATTTTGATCATGCTAATAACAAGAAACTATATTCTTTGTACTTTCAATTATTTATTTAATTAAATTTGGGAGCCCAAGTGGATGGATATACGGTTATGAGTGTGTATGTATACGTATATACGCACAGATGTGTATAAGCTGGACAGCGCCCCTAGTCCTAGCCGAAAGTCGAACCGGTATGTTCCATGTGGTCTTATATGGACCCCACCGACCGAAATGCTCAGCAAAAGATTTGCTTGGCATCCCCTTTACCACGCTCCCAGATAGCGCGTGTAGAACCATAACACAAGTAACTGACCGTTATGGGAAGGGCGCGTCTGCTCTTGCCACGTCACTTTGACGTTAACTCCTCACGTCTCTGTCGCCGTTACTTAACGTCCCCATCCTCTCCACACCGCTCCCCTAAATCCTCTCACCATATATATTTCTTTCCCCGACGCGAAAGTTACGATCACAGAGACCCCAGAAAAGAAAGAAAGAAAGACAATCTTCATGGATCTTCTTCCTTGAACCCTAAATCGTCTTTTTCTTAATCATGTCTTCCATTCCATGATCCTCGAAAATCGTGATCGTAATATTCGTTACTGGAAGAAGTTTAAAGAATTTTCTTCTACTGGGAACTTTGTGTTCACACTGGGGTTTTACACTGAAATCTTTTCCCTTGGTGTAAGCTAAATGCATTTATTTCTAGTCTTGGTATCTAGATCGATTCTTCGATTTTGAGTTTCAGTTTTCGATTTCCGTTCTTTCATGATCATTTCATGGAGGAGAAAAGTCGATCTATTCTCTTGGCCGCTCCACTAGAATTTCGCTCCAATTTGGCGTAGGCGTTTGTTCTTCTAATTCTGTTTCTGGTAGATTTATGCGTTTCTGGGTTTTGAGTTCTCTGGGAATCATCGAAATATTTTCTTAGCTTCTCTTGGGTTTTTGTTTCGCTTTGTACACTGGGTTGCATTAACCGTATGTGGAAGCGATATAGACAATGGTTTAACCTGCTACAGGCTGATTGTGAAAAGAAAAAGTTTGGCGTTTTTTTATTTGATCTTCTCTTCGTAATATCTGTAGAATTGTTGATTTTGTAGGTGAAACCTTGGAGGTAGTGGAAAATGTTCGGGGAAAGTCGTGGCATTAATGGTTTACGAGGCATGGGAGAGGTGTGATCCGTGTTGCATTTCTGCCTTCTTAATTATTTGTAGTGTGTGTTGTTCCTCAATGTTGTTGATTTCGATTTCTAAAATTAGAAATTAGGTTATTGAGATTTCACTATAGTCATCGTTCGTTTTAAGATGTTAATAGGATGGTGCACTGAGGGGAAGAACTGGTTCAAGTTCAAGGTGGTCAGTTGCTACACGGAAGTTGGACACTAAGCCTGTTTCTAATCCGAGTAGTTTTGGTTATGGTTTCGGATTATCGTCATTCGTTGGATTGAGGAACAGGTCAAGTGCACCTCCACCGTCAGCCACAGCTAATAATGGTAGTTCTGGGTCAGACATGGACATTGCCTCTGATTCTGATGATGAGACCCTTAATAGGAAACTCTCGCCCGATTCATCTCCTCAGGACCACAAAATTTCTGTAGGATTGTTTAACAAACATCCAGTGATGGCTCAAAATGGGCCGGAGGGACTTAGACATGATGGTACAAAGGTCTGCGGTGCAGATGAGTTGTCGGACTCGGCTACGAGCACCGAAGTTTCATATGTAATTTATTCCTGCCCTCACCCTATCTATATCTCTTATCCAGTTTTTCAAAAGTGGGCAATGCATTCAGATTCATGTTGAGTCAATTTGGATATGAGATGATATATGCCTTCCCCATTCTTAATGAGGTTTTCTTGTGTGTGACTCATATTCTAGCTTTTCTTTAGCAGAATCTGATTAGTGATAACTCAAAGTTCATAGTCCACTATTTTAATGGGGTCTATATTCCCTCAAGCTGATTTCAGCTCGCGCTAATCACTTGCAGGAAGCAGAAAACTGTGGCATGCGGAACAATGGATCTTCATATCACGATTTTCATAGTCAATCTCTATATGACAGGTTTGCCGAGTAGAAATTTGTTAACTTTTGCATCCTCCCGTTGTTCTGAAATGCATGAAAATAATATTTAGTGTTTTTGCTGCTAGGACAAAGGTTGAATCATCTTCAACTTCATTGCCTCCTTGCCTTCCCAACTTTCATGCAAGGTTAGTTAAGTAGCTTACTTATGTTACATAGGGAAGGGACCTTCCCACCTTGTCCTCCTCAACTATATCCCTTGGTTTTGGTGTAACTCAGTGAACAAGGTCCATGGTCTGCCATGATTGCCTTTGAAGCCTGTCTTCGGCTATGTCTTCATTCCTCGGCAGCAGCATATGGTGTTAATGAGGCTTCATATTTCCTGAATAATGAATGCACATTATTGCGAAATGCATTTGGGTGAGAACGATTTGGTATTTCCTTATAGATACAGCTTATGTTGCGATGATCTTTCTGGTCCTCCTCCTGTTGTTATTGCTGAGACAAACATATAGTTTGCAGAAATATTTTCTTCAATCTGAAGAAGAACTACTGGGAAAGGGGCCTTCTGGGTTGGTTACTGAGACAACAACTGCTCCAAAATCTAAGAAGACTGTTGGAAAAATTAAACTCCAAGGTATATTTTGTATCTTTTTTCATCAGGTTGCATTTATCTTTGCAGCAGCTGTGTTCATAGTGTTTCTTTTTCAACAGTTCGTAGAATCAAAATGGGATTGGATCCACCGCCTGGCTGCAGCATTTCGTCAATGAAACTCTCCAAGGAAAAGCTTGAAATTGTTCGCCAGCATATTGCAGATCTGAATTCTACTTTGTCTTCTGGATGGAAAGCAGTGAAGCGAGTTCATGTCACTCCTCAAGTTCCTTTGAATGGTTCAATTTCTCGTCAAAGCTTGGCTTATTTGCAGGCAGGTGCTCGCTACGTTAAACAAGTGTCAAAGGTCCTAAAGAATGAAATAGTTACATCTCACACGGGACCACAAAACTATGAAGCAGTACAAGGTGATAACATTGTACTTGCAACACTTCCATTCATCTTGCTTGCTTATTTCTGTTTCATCATCTCTTGGTGGTGGAGCATTCTTCTTCAGCTTCTTTCTGCATGATGTAATTATATAAGATTCTTTTTGTGTCAGAAACATATTCATGCTTGCTGAGGCTAAAGAGCTCAGCAGAGGAGGATCAAATTAAGACTCAACCTGGATCTGGTGAAACGTTTATTTTGTATGTATTCTAGTTTGTCAACTTGTACATTCTTATTTTCTCTTTGCATTTTTCTTTCTTCTTTTATTATTAATTTCTTTTTCCTTCACAAGAGGAACTTAAGATTTTTGTTGTCTCCTGTAGCTTACCTGATAGTCTTGGTGATGATTTGATTCTTGAAGTGCGGGATTCAAAGAGGCAATATTGTGGTCGTGTCTTGGCTCAGCTGGCTGCTATTGTTGATGACCCTGTAAGTAAGATTCTCATATGTCTTCATATTTTCAGATCATCAGTTAGTTTAGGAATTAAGCTGAGATTCTAAGGTGTTGGGTGAATGCAGAGCGAAAAGCTGCGGTGGTGGCCAATATATCATGAACCAGAACATGAACTTATTGGCAGAATCCAACTTCATATAACTTATTCAACCAGTCTGGATGAAAATGGTCAAACTAAGGTACAGGATTTTTTTGGCCAGCAGCTTTTCCTAGCATTCTGAGTGCCAACCTTAGTGCCTTTTCCTCCTTCTCAAATTCATTCTGACATTCACATGCATGCTTAGTGCGGGTTGGTTGCAGAAACTTCTGCATACGACCTGGTTTTGGAAGTAGCTATGAAAGCCGAGCATTTTCAACGAAGAAATTTGTTGCTGAAAGGGCCGTGGCAATGGATGGTTACTCGATTTGCGTCCTACTACGGTGTTTCAGATGTGTATACAAGATTAAGGTAATTGGATGACAAAGGACGATTGTTTAATATCCAAAATGTTTGGAGTGATGTAGTTACATTCTGTGAAATTTGCAGATACCTTTCATATGTCATGGATGTCGCCACACCAACCAAGGACTGTCTTGATCTGATACATGATTTTCTGCTGCCTGTTCTAATGAAAGACAATTACAAGAGTCTATTGAGTCATCAAGAGGTAGGTTTTCTGTTTTTGCTGAAGCCGTGCATGTCAAGCTTTCTCCCATTTTCCATTGTATTTGATTTCAGTTATATATCTTTCTATACTCTGTTCTGTTTATGAAACTCTAGAACAAACTATTGTTTCATCCTGTGAGCCTGTATGAATCAATCCATCAATTTTCTGACTCTCTGAGTTCTTCCCTGACCACCAACTCATATGATTTTTCCATCGACTTCTCCTTGTTTTCTTCCCCATCAAATGTGTATCTTGTCTTTCAGTTGTTTGGTTGATCCATATTAGTGCAAAGCATGGTTTGTCTAGTTTTTGAAGCTGGAATCACTTTAACCAGGGGAATAATGCTTTATTATATTATTATTTGATCTAGGGTTCTTACTGAAAATCCCTTCTTTTTGCTTGACGTATTAAATTGCTTGCATTTTCTGAGAATCTCCAAAGGATACATCTTAATTTCAAGTTGTTTGATATTCTTAATATAGTCTCCGGAAAACATAGTTGAGGTGAGAAATGTGCAAAGCATATTTGATACTGGCCATAATATGATGCAGAGAAGTGAGGACTTCTAAAAAAGTAGCTCACTTTACTGTTTGGTGACTTTCAACAGAATCGCATGATGGGGGAAATCGATGAACAAATTCAGCAGATTCTTGCCTTAGCATTTGAGAATTACAAATCGCTTGATGAATCTTCTCTCTCTGGAATCAAAGATGTTTTTGAGCCAGCTATGGGCAGGCCAGCTCCTGCACTAAGACCAGCTGTCAAGCTTTATGGTCTTCTGAATGATGTTTTAATCCCCGAGGCGCAGTTGAGACTTTGTAAATATTTCCAGGTATTCTCTCTCTCTCTCTCTCTCTCTCTCTATATATATATATATATATATAAAATTTCCCGTATCTTTTTTGTGTATGACGGTCACATGTGGATGGCTTCAGACTGCTACAAAGAAGAGGTCAAGAACACATTTATTAGAAACAGAAGACTTGCTTCATAGCCGCCGTGAGGGTGCTCAAGTGGATCCTGCATTGCTTCCAACATCCTATCAAAAGATGAAATCTCTAATTTTGAGCTTTAAAAATGAAATCCACACCGATATAGAGATCCACAATTGCAACGTGCTCCCAAGGTTGGTCATTTAAGTTAAAGATATGTAATATTCACGTAAGCCAAGTGAAATTCTGTTTACTTCTTGCTGTGAGATATTTCAACATCACACTGTCTTATTCAATTTTTCATCAGATCCATAATAATAGCTCAGCTCCTATTTGCAGTATCATTGAAGTTTGTGCATAAACATCTCTCGACAAAATCATCTCACTGTAGTTTATGGTTTCATTGCAAACTCGAAATGCTTTTTTTTTTAAATTTATATTCTCCTTGAACTCCTATGCAGCTTTATAGACCTTCGAAATATTTCGGCTGCAATATATAGCGTGGATCTGTGCAATAGGCTGCAGGGATTTCTTCTTGCATGGCCTCCTCCTGGTCCATCACCGCCAGTTGTTGATCTTGTTATAACGACTGCTGACTTTCAGACTGATATCTCTTGCTGGAAGATAAAGTAATAGTTGCCATTCCCTTTTTACAAGTAAAAACACATACCATATGCCTTTTTACCTTCCCCTTGCCAATCTGCACTTATGTTTTGTTCTTATGTTGCAGTCCAATCAAAGGTGGTGTCAATGCAAAAGAGCTTTTCCATTCCTACATTACTACCTGGATTGAAGAGAAGAAACGTGCATTATATGAATACTGCAAGCTAGAGTCGGTATAGATCCTGCAACAAGTTTTGGGTTGAACCAGTCTAACTAATATTAATTACATTGGAGTTCGTAGAGTAGGCTGATGTTTGTCATTCACGACTAAATCTAATAACTTGTTATTGCTTTCAGGTAAAACCATGCAGTGAGATTCCAGACTTTACCTCTCCTTTTGTTGATGAAATGTATCAGAGGCTGAATGAGACACTTGACGAGTATAATATCATCATTAGGCGTTGGCCAGAATATGCTTTACCTTTGGAGAAAGTGAGTAGGGGAAAAAATTCTATGTTCTTTCATTTCACTAGCATTGATTTCATAATCTTAGGATAGTAGCTGGGTTTTTAAAAAATTATATGAAATTGTAGTCTAATAAAGAATGAGACATGGTTAGAGACATGTTTTTTACTCCATAACCTTTCTCCTCATCTCTATCGAGTTCCATGGCAGACAAACTGGACTATTTTTTCCCATGTGCATCATGCTTTTCTTCTATGGCAAGGTCGCTGTGGATGCTGAGAAGGCAATAGTCGAAGCATTGGAGAAGCAATTTGCCGAAGTTTTATCTCCGTTGAGGGAGAACAAGATATTTGGCCTAAAATATGTCCAGAAATTGACCAAAGGCACGATCACTCCCTACTGTGTTCCAAAAGAGGTAGGCTTCCGCTTTGGATTTTTTTAGTCTGCATTTCCTTTCATGTAAGAGAGGAACGTAGCATGGCGTTTTTCTAAATTTCAGCTCGGAGTTCTTCTGAATTCGGTGAAAAGAATGCTTGACATTTTACGCCCAAGTGTTGAGAAACGGTTCAAATACTGGAATTCTTATTTCCCTGATGGAGAACATAGAGTATTGGGAGAAAGGCTAAGTGAGGTGACAGTGTTATTGAGAGCCAAGTTCAGAAGTTACATGCAAGCACTGGTGGAGAAACTAGCGGAGAATGTAAGTATTTCCATTTTTGAATGTCATGTTTTAAATCTCTGATCAGCTAGTATTATATAGTAAACCTCTTTTTACTGCGCACACAATCTATGGGTACAGACAAGGATACAAAGTCAGATGAGGATAAAGAACATAATCAGGGATCTAAGGGAGACAACAGAAGAGAGTGAGGTGAGGGGCAGAATGAAGGGATTGGAGGATCTGATAGAGAAGACAATTGAACAACTGCACGGTGTATTCGTGGCTGATGTTTTCGTATCAGTCTGCAGAGGGATATGGGACCGCTTGGGACAGGTAAAACTAAAATCCATTTATTCATTTCACGTGTGTAGCTCCACGTTTCACTGTTGTCATCTATCATACATTTTTTTTTCATTATCATCATAAAAAGGATGTGCTCCGTCTGATGGAAGACAAGAAAGACAACGTGACATGGCACAAAGGCCCGAGAATTGCCATCTCTGTAAGTGAAATACATTACGTGAAGAATCCATCAGTGTTCTTGGGTGTGTACTTACTTGTGTGTGCGAATGAATGGAAGGTGATGGATGAGATATTCGGGAGAGAGATGCAGGAAATGATGGGGAATGGAATCAAGGCAGAGCACTTGGAGCCACCTCGGTCTGTCATGGATCTCCGTTCTATGCTTTTGTAATCATTTTTTTTTAAAAAAAAAAGAGAGAGAGAGAATTCTTCATCATCAGACAGACTGACCACAACCTGGGGGGAGGGGGGAAGTCTACTTGCTGCTACTACCAAAGCGTAAATGAACTTGGAAAAGGAAAACCAGAAGCAAGCACAGCAGCTCTTTTTGTCGCCCATTTTTCATTTCTTTCCTTTTATTTTATTATTTTAAAAAAAGAATGGTGAATACTTTTTTGCGGCAGCCAGTCACCAAAGGATCTGTACGTAGTTTTGTCATCTTGGACCCAAGAAAATGTAGTGTTGAGAAAAGTAAGGAACCTAGTGGTGTAGTATGTCAAGGTTTCGACTTTTAATCCATCCAATGAATGAACCATTGTTGACCAAATTTCGGTTAAGTGTTGATTTGAGTCCAACCGGAAGTGCAATTATATATATATATTTTGAAAGGGAAAAAAGGTAGGAGATAGAAAAAAGAAACGTCGCCTGAGAGATTCGAACTCTCGCGAGGAAACCCCATGTACTTAGCAAGCACACGCCTTAACCACTCGGCCAAAGCGACTCTTTGTTTAACAATAAGAAAATTTTTAAGATCCGATAAATTTCATTTTAAATTTTTCATATTTTTAAAAAAATCATATATATATATCTTTATTAAATAATATCCAAATTAATACTCTAGTTTGATATTTTTATTTTATTAAAGATAAAATTGAAATCTTTTATTAAAATATTTAAAAAATCTAAAATTACAACTGTTTAGAAACAAAAAATAATCTCTAAAACGACATTCATATTGAAACAAGGAAACAAGGAGTAGTAAAAATCGTCGTAGTTCATAAATGCGAAACTGATATTTCATAATCTGATGAATTTATAATCTGGTTGATGGAGAAATGCCCTTACTCCCTCTTGGATTTGGAGAGAGCTCTCTTCCTCTGTCCAAGCATGTACCTGTACATGTGAGGACTTCCTGCAAACCCCGTTCGAGATGTTTTAGAACACAACTGACCAAAACCACACACACACAAAGCATGAGGAACGTTCTTCTAGTGGAGAAAACGTATGTAATGCCATGCCATGCCTGGAACGTATATTCCAAGAACGAGTATTGCCGCGTAGAAGCTGTCGAACGAGAAGTTCCACTTGTTTGGCATCCTAACACTGTACTTCTCCGTTTTCTGCACACCAATTACCAACCAACCAGTTTAATCATCGGTTCTGCAAATCCATGTGATAGATAACTAAACTAACCAAGTGTATATCCAGAGAGAAAGAGAGAGAGAGAGCTCGGGGAAAGCAAGAATTCGCAAAGGTATTCAAGAAAAATCCATGGCAGCATTCTATTAACATAAAACAACACATTCGACGATATAAACGGCTCTTATGGGCAGATTCTTGTAGCGAAAATGCCATGGTGTTACCTTGATATGAGGCAAGGCAAGGTAGATAAGTCCTACTTCACTGGTGATACCGGTTGGATATAACACCAAAAAGCTGCTGTATCTGTCCATATCATTAACCAGAGAGAGATTAAAAAACACTTAATTGGATCGGGGCGAGGGGGTTAGTTAATATATTTACTCAAAATCAAAGCCTATATAATACACTGTACCTGAGCCACAAGAGCCATGAAGGAGCAGAGCCCAGACCTTCCTTGAGTCCAAAGAAAGAGTACCGTATAGTCTGTCATTACAATCAAAATCTCTTTTTCAGGTATCTGAACTTTGTTGTTCACCAAACATAAGAAATTGTAACATCAAAAGAGTGATAAGTTGCCCTTATATGAGCATAAGACTCTCACATCGGAGGAAAGATAGACCGATTCATTCGGGTCTGATTGATATTTAAAGGAGTCATGCTTAAGCAAATCTCTTTGGTCAGCACTTGAACAATCCATGTAACAAGAAAACTTGACCTTCTAAGTGTCAGAAGAAGAAAACACATAAAATGCTAACCTCAGTAACGGACCAACTGATGACTAGCGACGAGACAAGGAAATGAGATCGAACCTGAAATAACCGAACCGTAATTCAACAAAATCAGATAGTTGAACATCAATTACCATCGAAGAGACATTTAAACATGCTATGCTTGTAAAATGATTAAGGTTAAACCTCAGGGAAACTGTACAAGATGCCCCATGTAACATATAGTCTTGAACCTATCTGCGGCAGCGTAGCAGAGACTGGAGATCTAACCAAACCTATCAGAAATTTCAGACATCACATTACACAAATTAGTCAACAATCTTTGCCGTCAGATCTAACTGGTACAAGTTTAACCCAAGTTTGCTGTAAATAGATCTGATCACTCACCTACCAATCCATGAAGAATCTGTTCCAGACCCACCATTTCGAAATCCAAATTTGAAACAGCAAAAAGCAGAAAAAAAATAATCAGTTCCAGGATCCCACCGATCAATTTCAACTAGTGTTGACCAACATTGGTGTACATCCATAGTCTCTACTATACCCGGAAAATAAAAATGTAAAATTTTCCCGAGAAACAAACAGACCTCGAGAACGGCGGCGGTCTGAGCAAGCTGGAGAGGCTTCTCGACAGCGTCGTAGACATGTTCGTGTCCCGATTCATTCAATGTCTTCAAGGAAAGGTACAAAACTTGCGCCCTAAAACCCAAATGTTATCGCGAAAATGAAAATAAACCAGTAAGTCGAATCCAAATCAGAGAAGAAAAAAAACACCCCATGAAATCCGAAAGGCAGAGTTCCAAAGCGAGTCGACTTACCATCCGAAGAAGACGGTCCAGTTGTAGAGAGTAAGGTACACGCGCCGGAGGAGAGAGAAAAATCCCGCCATGGGAAGTGCAGAGAGAGATAACTGTAACCCTTCGTTGAACAACGCGAAGAAGACGAAGAATACGAGATTTAAGGAGCGATGGGAAGAGGCAATTAAAGAGTTGCGTAATGTAGGCATGGACAGGTGAGCTGCTCAACCGTCGTCCCTCAGATGTTTATGATTCGGTCCGTATTTTCATCTACATTTCTAAATACGCCCCATTATTTGTTGAAATAGATTTCACCCCCAAACGGATTACTCCTAAATCCTAATGCTTTTTTTCCGTTGTATTTTGTCCATCTTCAAAGTAAAAATACTTTCCACACCAGTAAATAAATACCTGAAATAGATTTAGTATAGCCAATCATTATATATATATATATATATATAAAGAAATTTACAACACGTTACGTATCTACAAATCTCTAAAGATGAGAATCTGAATTCATTATCCATGAATTCCGAAAAAAAAATTGTGAACAATTGCCCGAATTAGACATTATTCAAGCTTGGATTTACTTATTTATATATATATATATCCAAGAAATTGTAAGATAGATGGAATAACATTCGGAATTCTAATTAATTGCCAAATCACGATCGGAAGCAAAAAACATTGAGGAGCTTACTTGTCGTAAGAGCGATCGGAGAAAACGCCGGAAGAAAATCTCCGGCGAAGAACCTATCGGAA